AAAAAAAAAAAAAAAAAAAAAACGATAAAAAAGCCTAAAAGCACGCCAAAAATACCTTAGGCGAGACATTTGTTTTCAAGATAAATGCGGAAAGGATAGACTTATGTGTGATGTGTGTTGGGTATCACTCTCCAAGCAGAGGTCTGGGTTTTGGGTTTGGTTAAAAAAAAATCCAGTGCAAAAAAGAAACCCCGATAAAAAAGCCTAAATACACGCCAAAAATCTCTGCTTGGAGAGTATTTGTTCATCTTGTTTTCAAGATACATGGGGATATATAGTAGCCTCTACCAGGCTTCGGGAGGCGGCTGGAAAGAGTAGAAATTGGCCAAATAGAGAGATAACATGCCGGGGGATTTCAGGTCCGCTGGAAAGTACAGTTTGCCTGGAAGAGGCTAGCCTCCACAGCATGCCAAAAACTGGGGGTTTGAGGGGTCTTCATGGTGTTTGGTAGCTTTTATGTGTTATTTTCTGATTGCATATAGACAACATAGCCGGCCTGGTTGAATTACCCCCAGTTCTATAACTATAGTATAAGCCTGCTACGGAGGCTAGGTAGAGGCTAGATAGTACTCTCCAAGCAGAGGTTGTGGGGGAATGATCGTTAGCTTTTTATATATGGCCGTTTTTTTTGGTCGCTACCCCCGTCGGTGGCCGGCGACCTTCTCTAGCTAATGGATACTGCCTGGCCAATTTGATACTGTCTTTTTGCCACCGAAAGAGATCTGCTTGGAGATTAGCTAGCTAGCTAGAGTTATGTCATGTGTTTGAGAGAGGGGGGGGGGCAGTTTTCTCCTTGTGTGAGAAATTAGAGGACAAACTGTACCAGCTGACACGCAACACCTTCCCGTAATCGTTGGCTAACTCGCCATTAACTCCGCTCAATCTGTTTCCTTTGTATCCTCTGATCGCGATGATAAGGACCTTTTTGTTGTTGCAGGTCCTTTTGTTTATCCTCACATGCCCCGCGTTTTTACCTGAACAGCCGGATGCCACCGATAATTTCGACATCTTCCGTTCAAGATTATAACATAGCCTCCGTAGCAGGCTTATAGAACTATGGGGGATTGGTGGTCTTCGGCTGTTTTCTGATTAGCCTCCGTAGCAGGCTTATAGAACTGGGGGTTTGGTGGTCTTCAGCTGTTTTCTGATTAGCCTCCGTAGCAGGCTTATAGAACTGGGGGTTTGGTGGTCTTCGGCTGTTTTCTGATTAGCCTCCATAGCAGGCTTATAGAACTGGGGGTTTGGTGGTCTTCGGCTGTTTTCTGATTTAATAGCCCAGTTCTAAAAAAACGTGGGTAAATTCAACCAGGCCGGCTATGTTGTCTATATATTATGCAATCAGAAAATAGCACATAAAAGATCCCAAAGATCCCGAAGACCCCCAAAACTACCCTCCAACTCCAAGCAGAGGTTCTTGGGGAATGATCATTACCTTTTTATATATGACCCTTCTCTGGCTAATGGATACTGCCTGGCTAATTTGATACTGTCTTTTTGCCACCGATCTGCTTGGAGATTTACCCCCCAAACTCCAGTTTTTGGCATGCTATGGAGGCTACTGAGCTTTTTTTATTCCCTCCCGGTGGCTGGTTAATGTACAGGCATCTCCCTAGGCGCTATAAGCAGTAAAGTCACCTTGTTATGGTGTAATGGATTTCACCCCGCCAAATATGGGCATATAATTGTGGGCGTGGCCACGGTAGAATGGGCGCGGCTTCGCCCTACCGTTTGAAAATGACGTCATCAAAACAGACGGTTCCGTACCCGCGAGATATTTGGGGAAAGCCTGTTTCATAATTCATTTTTTGTTTCAGAATATATTCAAATTCCCGCGCGGCCGCTGGCTATTTTTGGTACACGTTCGGGAGGGGTTAAAATATATAAGAAAAGGCGGGGTTTGAATAGGGGTCAGGGTGACGTCATGTTGCCAAGGCGACGCCCTCCGGGCCAATGGGAGGGGTTAGCGGGTTGTCAATCATGTTGGTTGGCGCCTTTGTGAGTTCGCGCCATGCCCACCCACGGCGGGCCAATGGGCGGCCGCTGCCCCTGAACCCACGTGTCCCCCGCCGTTCGCTACACGCACTGCCACACTCACTCCGTTTGTAGCGGGCTTTAGTAGCGTGTAGACATGGACGGACAGAGCCAGCAAACCTCCGCAAACAGCCCCAGCGAGGAAGCAAATGACCCAGGGTGAGTATCCCGGCGCTACAGTCGGCCAGGGGAGCGGGTTTGCCCGCCGGTAACGCGAGGTTTGCCGGGGAGTTCGCCCGGCGGGGACGGGGCCGGGGTAGCAGCCGGGCCGGGGGGCTACCAGGCGGCTGGGACGCTAGCCCGGCTTCCAAGATGGCCGTCTGGTCGGTACGGAGCTGCGGATAGATCGGCCCCGGGTAGGGGTGCGTGAGTGGATGGGGGGCGGGCGAGCGTGCCGTCCCGCGTACAGACTTCTGAGCTGTTTCTGTGCTTCCACCGTGAGAGTTGTACCCTATCCCGGGCCTAGCTGCATCGCCCGATTTACCATCGGACCCCTTCTCGGTACCCGGAGTTAACAACAGTCTCACCGGAGCTTACCTAACTACTGTTGCCGTACACAAACTAGTCACTAACATCTCAACTTTCCCCTGTTTTGTTTTGCAGGAAAATGTTCATAGGGGGGTTGAGCTGGCAGACCACAGCAGGTAAGTTCGTGTGTTATATTTATTCATGGCGACTCGTACGAACGAAAACTGTGCGCCGATTTCAAAATCTCTCCGTCTCTCAATCGCTGATTTCCAAAATGGTGGCTGGCCGGTTTGTGTGTTTATTCTCACGTCTCTGTAACTAACTAACGCTTGCTTCTTGTTGTGTCTCCCCCTTACAGATAGCCTTAGAGAATACTTTTGCAAGTACGGGGAAATCAAGGAATGTATGGTCATGAAAGACCCGGTCACCCGTAGATCGAGGTAAGTTCACCGCTTTTGTTTTGACTCTGCCCTCCCCACAAAAAAACCCATTCATCCCAGGACCTTTCCGTAGCTGTCAGAGTAGCCAAGTTGATACACTGACATATTTTTTTGCCGTGCTCTCGTCTAGACTTAAAAAATAAAACAAAAATCGCACACAAAATACTCTACAAGCACGTCACATAGTCCAACTCTCTTGTTGGAAAAATTGTGCATGCAAGTCCATCCGTATCCAGCACACCATGACACGGTCTGACATTTAGCACTGTTGTAATTGTGCAGTTGTGTGAGAGAGAATAGAAGAAGAAGAGTACTAGCTTTGTAGTCGAGCTAGCTAAGAACCACACATTTCTATCCATTGTTGTTGCAGTGCCGTTTGTACTAATTTTGTTTCCATGTTTTGTTGTCTCTTTTTCTGCACCACTACAGAGGTTTCGGATTCGTGACTTTCAGGGACCCTGCTAGTGTAGATAAAGTGTTAGCCGTTAGCAAGCATGAGCTAGATTCAAAAACGGTTAGTATACAGTACGGTAGTTTCCCCTTATTTATAAACACATTTCCTTACTTACTTTGGTGGTGGAATTTGCTGACACTTGCTAGCCTCCACAGCATGCCGAAAACTGGGGGTTTGGGAGCTTTTATGTGATATTTTCTGACTGCATATTGACAACATAGCCGGCCTGGTTGAATTACCCACGTTTTTTTGAACCTGGCTAATCAGAAAACAGCCGAAGACCACCAAACCCCCAGTTCTATAAGCCTGCTACAGAGGCTAGACACTTGCCATATTTTCTACGTTGTATAAAATGTCGTTATTTATATATAAACTCACCTAATTTCTTGCGCTACGTTTCGGCTGATGTGTCAATTTCCCAAACAGTGTGAGAAAAACCAACTGTCGACTTTCGGTGCCAAGCGCCAGCGGCGATGTTTACATGGGACTTGCATGTAACTTATAATTTCCAGACAAGGTCTGGAGACAGAAAACACGTTTTCTTTGCTACGATAGGGGAGTTTTAACGTCTTCTGTGTGAAGTGTAGAGATTTTTTACTGTGTGTGTAACGCTACAAACTTGCAGAAGTACAACACTTGATCGCTATGTGTCTCGCTTCAATGCACAGATACGGACCGTCTGAATTATTGAAACTCTTTCCCTCGCCTGTATCGAAACTTTCTGCATATTAATGCCCGTTGCCAAGACCTACCAGCATGGATATGCAGTAGCTGTAAGAATTTTGTAATTATTTTTGCCTGGCGAGACACTAATTAAATTTCACTCGCACACAAAGAGTAGGGCAGTTTTCTGGCTCCCACATCGGCGAAAATTCACTCCGTTTTCCCGTCCCTTTTCTTCACAGATCGACCCTAAAGTCGCTTTCCCCAGAAGAGCACAACCCAAGGTAAGATTTTGTTCTTCTTTTTATTTTTCTGAACTGATTGTTCTGTTGTGTAGCTGATATGTCTGCGAGGTCTGGTCCTTTGTTTTTGTGCTGTAGATGTGCCGGTATAGGTCCCAAGGGTCGGAGGGTTTGACATACACGAGTGCAAAACAAACATTACCCGAGATAGACTCCAATATTTGCCCCGCATTTTCGCGAATTCTCGGATTTACTAGAACTTTATATTGTGTTTAACTGTGATTTTTAGTACCGGGTTCGGGTTGCGTTGTGTGTGTAGATTTTCGTGCCGATTTTCTGGGGGGAAATTTGTCAGGAAATGTTGTAGAAAAGGGGGTGACCTAGCCGCCTAAAGTTTCAGCCACCTCGCCCCAAATCCAAACAGATATTTGTGCCCCCGAAATTGTCCGACCAACACGAGGAGAAAAGAGCCGGTGTCGCCTTTCACCGGCCGGCCATTTTGTCCGCGGCTTACCAGCAAAGACTACCGGGGTAAAACTCGCACCCTGCGTCCTGTTTTGGGCGGACTTTACCCAGATAAAAGCCGCTAAACACCCAGTTTGACAGCTAAATTCCTGGGCTGGGCTAGAACTCGGTAGCAACGGGGCTATGTGTGCAGTTTTACCGGGCAGCATTCATGCCCACTCAAGCCTTCCCAAGCAGCGACCTACGCTGAAACTGGACCCGAAATCTCACACCACACAAAACTGGGCCACCTTTACAAAGCCTTGGGGTGGGTGTAAAGACAGACCTTAGGGCTTGTAGGTCAGCGTAGGGGGTCAGGATAGCCCTGTAAGGGGGGAAGGGGGGTTCTAGGGGGGCATGAGGTCATGTACTCTTGCCTAGACACCTCCGAACTGTGTTTATGTTTACTCACTGATTTGTACGATAGCAAACCGGATCCTAGCAAGTAACATCCTCCTCGGAACTTATTGCATAAATATTGCTTCCCTTGCCGGTGCTAGTACACCCAAAACTGGTGTAGAAATGTGGGCTGTGGCTAGCCTCCATAGCATGCCAAAAACTGGGGGTCTTTGGGAGCTTTTATATGCTATTTTCTGATTGCATATAGACAACATAGCCGGCCTGGTTGAATTACCCCCGTTTGTTTTAGAACTTGGATAATCAGAAAACAGCCGAAGACCACTAAACCCTCAGTTCTATAAGCCTGCTACAGAGGCTAGTTGGCTGTAGCCTTTTCTGGTGTGCAGGAATGTTTGTGTGCTCTCTGTCTCCCCCCAAAACCAGCCGCACAGTCGTTATTTTTTACCCACCTTTTATAGGCACTTTAATTTGGTCCCCTCCCAACAAGGTAGCGCCATGTTAATGCCCAAATATTCGGGGCTGAATTGGGGAAGGCAGTGTGGGAAAAACGGGTGCGGGTCAGGCAGTAAGAATGGCACAAAGACACAAAGGCTGCCTGTATCCCTGCACACATCATCTCAGCCAAACTAACCTGGAACAAAAGGAGCATTCTTCCCTCCCTGTGAGGGTTCAGTGGTTCCCGATTCACTCGCAAACACAGAGGAGCTTACTGCCACTTTCTGCTCTACATGCAGAGGATAATAATTCTTCTCAGACCAGAGCTCCGGCCAAGATCTGCGTATGGTCAGCAGACTACTAAATCCTCACTCGAAAACCTCGTACTAACTTTCACATAACTCGTCACTCGAAAACCTCACACTAACTCCATACTCTCACCTCTACTCCTCACACTTTCACACTAACTCCTCACACTAACTCTATACTCTCACCCCTAACTCTAACTCCTCACTAACTTTCAAACTTTCAAACTCCTCATTCGAACTCCTAACTCTAGTGCCTCACCTAACTCCTCACACTAACTCCTCACACTAACTCCTCACACTAACTCCTCACACTAACTCCTCACACTAGTGCCTCACACTAACTCCTCACACTAACTCCTCACACTAGTGCCTCACACTAACTCCTCACACTAACTCCTCACACTAACTCCTCACACTAACTCCTCACACTAACTCCTCACACTAACTCCTCACAGTAACTTTCACACTTACCCCTCACACCAACTCCTCACACCAACTCCTCACACTAACTCCCCACACTAACTCCCCACACTAACTCCTCACACTAACTCCTCACACTAACTCCCCACACTAACTCCTCACACTAACTCCTCACACTAACTCCTCACACTAACTCCTCACACTAACTCCTCACACTAACTCCTCACACACACCAAACCATAATCGGGTCAGCTCAAAATCTTCCCCCTCAGAAAAATAGACAGTGAAATCTGAGGGAATGCACCGTGTATGTTGAACAGACCCTTGCATGTTGTAATGCAGTATGGACTGGTATATATATATAGTATGGACCTCTGTATATTATATGGACCAGTTAAGGTGTAGTTGTATGGACTTAATTATGTAATATAGACTGCTGTATGTATGTGTATGTATGTATGTATGTATGTATGTATGTATGTATGTATGTATGTATGTATGTATGTATGTATGTATGTATGTATGTATGTATGTATGTATGTATGTATGTATGTATGTATGTATGTATGTATGTATGTATGTATGTATGTATGTATGTATGTATGTATGTATGTATGTATGTATGTATGTATGAATGAATGAATGAATGAATGAATGAATGAATGAATGAATGAATGAATGAAAGTTAATTATTGTGTATGTACTATGTTGTATAAGATATAATAAGACCAGTGTATATTGTATGGAGACCAGTGTATATTGTATGTAATGTATGGTGTACAGCGTAATGTTTGTTGTCCTATACTGTACTGCCTGAATACTCTACTCTCCAAGCAGAGGTTTGGGGTTATTTTTGGCGTCTTTTTAGACTTTTTTAAATCCGGGTTTCTTTTTCTTCACCCCTCCCAAAAAATTCCAGTGCAAAAAAGACACCCCGGTAAAAAAAAGTCTAGAAACATGCCAAAAACAACCCCAAACCTCTGCTTGGAGAGTACTGCTTGCCTGTTCAGTCCCCCCAGCTGTAGGTTAGAGCCCCTGGGCCAGTCTGGCTAATGCTATGCATTGTCTGATGTAAAACCCTTCGGCCCACTTAAAATGTTAGCCTCCGGGTCACTGAACAACGCTCGACAAATCACCAAGATTTAAAAACTCGTAAAATCTCGGAGCCGTTTTTTCTTTGTTAACGAGAGTAGCTGCCTCGTTATTTCCACTTTGTGGCGTTCATTACCACCTTAGTTATTCTGAATGCTTGGTTCAACGGCCAAGGGTAACCTTTGACCTGTTCTAGCTCAGATTTTATTAAAAATGTTCTTTCTTTCGCTCTTTTTTTCAGATGGTCACAAGAACCAAGAAAATCTTTGTCGGAGGCCTGTCAGCAAACACTGTATTAGAAGATGTCAAGAATTACTTCGGCCATTACGGAAAGGTAAGAACAAATCTGGTGTGTAATAATTATATATTCCTGTACCACATACATGTGTGCACACACACCATACGTATTACGCATGTGCGCACACATACTTAACACGCCACACACATTATGCGTGTGCGCACACACACTTAACACACCACACACACAGAGTAACGTTACACACATACTCCTTGCCACCCCAGTGTGAGATTTTACCACATGGCAAGCGGCTCAAACCAACTGTCCACACAACTGAACAAAAGGGTTTGGTAGAAGAATCAGGATATTTGCTCAGCTCCATGTGGGCTACAGAGAACTCGGCAGCCATTCCTGTGTTTACCTAGCAAAGCTGGAAGCATGGTCATTTGGGCAGGAGATGCTTAATTACCTGTGATGTTAACGAGGTTGGGTAGACTGTCAGCCGGATTCCTGGGGTTCAGTAATCTGTAAGGATCCCCACCCAACCTCAGAAGGGCAGTTCATGGTCTAACTACCACACCATAGCGGGTTGAACTCCCCAAAAATTAGGTGCACCGAAGACAAAACATAAAAATAAAGTAAAATACAAATGTATTAGCATTGCCAAATTGCCAGCCTTACTGCTCCTCTTGTGAACGTTTTAAACTCTAACTTCAAAATTTCAAACAAGTAATAAATCTTTTTTTTTTAATGATTTATTTCACATACCATTGTTGGAAGTACAGCACACAGTGTTGTGTACTTTTATTGTACGTAGCTTAGCCTTACAAAAATTTTTAAATGGGTCAAAAATTGGGTGCACAGCTCCAAGTTTAGGTGCACAAAGGTGCCCATGCACCCAGTATTTCAAGTCCTGGACTACGACATATAACAACCCTCCTGTGTGTCAGACTTGGCTAAGTGGCATAGTTTCTCTGTCTGCCGTATCAGTGTTCAGCTTCCATTTAAAAGGTGTTGGTGGTGCAGTGCAGTGTGTGCGAGATAGCCCCGAGTGGGCCTGACAGTGAACAGGGCTTGTATGGGGGGCTCCTGTCATCCCTGTGCCCTTATCAGAGGCCGTGAATGGGGGGTCCTTGTCAGTCCACTCCGTTATCACAGAGTTCAAGCCTAGGGTTCCCCTCTGCAAATACACCCAGCCCCGCGATCGAACCATAGAGCGGAAGTCTGGTTGGTACAGAGATAGGGCAAGCGTTTGGAGACCAGAGAGCAAATATCGGTTGTTTGGAGGAACTGTTGGCTCGCTGGGCCCGATTATTTCGCACCTACGGGTCATGAACAAACAGTCGTGAAAGTTTTACAGGTTCTCGATCGCCCGACGGTTCTGTCAGGAAGGTGTTAATGCGAACTGTTTGTTTCTCCCTGCTGGTGACCATTACCCCCCTCCCACACTAAACACACACCAAGTTAATTTGTTGGTTCTCAGATTTGCCTCTTCATTTTTTTCTGATTTGCAAAAAAAATAAAAAATCTACTCAAGAATGCTCATATTTTGCTCCCAAGAGTTGAGGAAAGTCTTTTTCTTCCTACTTGTTACAGTTTCTTCGTCTATCAATGAAGTGGTTTGATTATAAGTTAAAAATTCAATGTTTAGATATTAACCCGGCCTTTTGTGTTGACTTCATGGCTCCTTTCGTAGCATTTGGGGGCAATAGTAGTATGCCTAGACCTGTCTTTATTTTATTTTTTCGCCCTGTCGCTTCATATTTTTTTCAGAAAAAATCTGAGAACCAACAAATTAAATTCGTGTGGCCTAAACTACCTCAGTTTGTCTGAGGTGTTAAAATCACAGGTGAGAGTCCCGCGCTCAGGTAAATACACACCTGAATACACTTCAAGTGTTGGGGTAGGTTTTACCCGATAACTTTTCCCCCGGAGGTTTCCCCTCAGCCTTCTGCAACAAAAACATTAGTGTCCTAATTACTGATTGTCCAATTTGCGGTAATTATGATAAATTTTGAAGCCATTTTGAGGCTGTCACTCCGACTGGTTTTACTCCTAGTGAGCTCTGGGGTTGAGTACTGTAATTCCTGATTTTTTCACGGTACTGTTATGTTCACTGTCATTTCTGTACTGTAAACTTATCATTACAGTTAACAAATAATTCCTGGACTTTCTTTTTCCTGCACCTGTCGCCACCGTGAATATATACTAGTAGTTCTGCAGACATGTCCATTTTTCTCAGACCGCGAACTTTTGCTACCGTGAACATAAAGTGAATTACAGTAAGTCTAACTCCCCCCCTCAGACTCTAAGCTCAGAGCCGGTTTTTGTTCAATGTGGTGGTTTGAAATGTAGGTTTGCTCAGCTGAATGACATATGAAAAGGCTGACGTTCTGTTGATTTTGTGGTGCTGTTGTATGACTGGAATCCCCCCATTTTCTGTACTCGTGGCAGCCAGGTCTGGCTAGGAATGTCCAGTCAGGCTAAGATTATACATTTTGTAATATTAATTCTTATTTTGAGGTAAAGAAGTTTTCTTTTACACAACCAGTATTGTCTCTTACCTTGCTTACGTTTCAGTGTCTATCAAAGATTGCAAAGATTTTGCATACAAAATTACAGGCGATATGTACATTATTTTGTATAAAGCAAACCTTCAATGAAGTTCAAGCAGTCATTTTAAAGTAACAGGAACACTTGATAGCCTCCGTAGCAGGCTTATAGAACGGGGGTTTGGTGGTCTTCGGCTGTTTTCTGATTAGCCCAGTTAAACCAGGCCGGCTATGTTGTCTATATGCAATCAGAAAATAGCACATAAAAGCTCCCAAAGACCCTGAAGACCCCCAAAACGCCCAGTTTTTGGCATGCTATGGAGGCTAAACACACAGCCAGACATAGAAAATTAACGACACCTCCTGTGTTTGTGCTGTTTACGTGCTGTTTACATCCCTACAAGAAGGACCAGTTTGTGTTAGGTTTCTGAGAAGCTGTAGACAGAACAGTCCAGTCTTGTAGGTCAGGTTTCTCAAGGTGTTTATTCTGGGGCTTTCTTTATTTGTCACACCAAAAAGCAAACCTTACAGCAGGGATGAGACTCCCTGAAATGCAAATTGAGAAGTTTATTGCAAATCCATGCCCGAAGGATAATCACAAGTTACAAACATGAAAGAACATTGAAACAGAGTATAAAATAAGTTCAAAATGTACATAATAAAATCTAGTTGTCTAAAACTATTGCTATGTCTAAAACTATGTCTGAAGGGTTTGACTTCTCTCTGTAAAGAGTTTGCGTACAAAAATTACAAAATACAACGGACAAGACAGGCGATATCTATACATCCCTCATGTACATTATAATACATTATTTTGTACCAAGCAAACCTGACTTATGTACAGGTGAGGTTTAGGAGATATAAAGCATGACTAGTGATATGACAGTTCTTTGTAGCTGTGGTTTCCAACGCTTAAAACTGGACTTTTCTTTCGATTAACCAACTCCAGTCTTTGTTAAGGAATGAGCAATCCACCGCTTCTATGACGTCATGTTAGAACTAGAACTTAAGCACATAGAACATGTGACTCAGTAAGCAGTGGATTGTAAGTGTCAAAACGGTGTGTGTTCAGCCTTGAAAAAAAGGCAGATTTTTAGGCCAGGTTTTGGATAAACGTTAAACCGGATTTAGAGAGAGAGAGAGTTTTGGGTTTGAGGATGTGTATGTTTAGCCAGAGGAACGGCAGATTTTTGGGTAAAGATTCTGGTTGAATTTTTAGTGTGGACGTTGAATATTGGGAACATGTAGTGGCTCTGACAAAGATCCGGCTTGTCTGGTGTTTAACTGAAGGAGTTCAGTACACAAGGATGTGTGTTTAACCACGTAACGTAAGGCACGTCTTTGTGCCAGGTCTGTGTGAGACTGCGCTGTCCAAATGCGTACACACAGTTCTGCCATGACAGAGTTCCTACTATGATGGTGTTGTAGGAGTTCAGATCCAACCATATAAATTTATAATAGTAACATGGATAGCTTAGAAAGGCACGTCTTTGTATCAGGATTGTGTGAGACTGGACTGTCCCAATGCGCACACAGTTTGACTTTGGCCATGACAGAGTTCCTACTATCCTGGTACTGTTGGAGTTCAGAGACAGTCATGTAGTAATAACAGGGTCGTGTGTTTAGCTTGGAAAATAAGGTCTTTGTACCAGGTTTGTGTGAGATTGGACTGTCAAAGTGAGTACACTGTTAGGCCAGGGCTCAAAATATTTTTCTGTAAACTCAGGTTCATGTTCGGACATAGGGGGAGAGTGCTCGCAATCTAGGGGGGTCCAGGGACAAGTTCTGATTTTTCAAAGCCTTTAAAAACTCAATTTCCCACATTGGATGTCTTTATATTTTTACCCAAGATGTTTGTCAATTTTGTCCCGGATTGGTTTGAAAGTTTTTCCGTTACACGCCACAAAAACGGGTGCTAGCATGAGCCCTGCTTTGCATCCATGACAAAGGTCCAACTGTCCTGGTGTTGTTGAGAGTTGAGAGCCGGCCAGTTTATCTGACGGGGATTTCCTACCCAGCGTGCCCCAAAGATCGTTATCACCACATCTCCTAATTAGCCCTAATTGTGATTGCAGAACGCCCAGGGTGGGAGCCAGGGTGGGAGGGCTGATTACGTGTACAGTAGCACTACAGTAGCCAGGGGACTGGGGAAGTAGGGAGGCTCACAAATTCCACCAGTATAGAACCGTACAACCATGGAGGTAGAAAACCTCCATGGTACAACCAAACAACCAAATACTGAAAACAACTACGGTAGCTTCAGATACACCTACTGTACAATAGCACCACAGTAGCCAGGGGACTGGGGAAGTAGGGAGGCTCACAAATTCCACCAGTATAGAACCGTACAACCAAACAACAAAATACTGGAAACAACTACGGTAGCTTCAGATACAAGTACTGTACACTAGCACTATAGTAGTCAGGGGACTGGGGAAGTAGGGAGGGTTACAAATTTCTACTGTATTTTCAAATCCTATCACCAAACTACAAGACATGATACTGGAAACAAATAGCTTTAGATACACATAGAAAATTACACAA